AGGCAGTTTCCCATTCACTATCTAGCCTTCAAAACTCAATGGGAATCAAGTCTCGGTAATACAAAGATGGTGCAAAAATCTTTTAAATTCGTATGGTGGATTTTGAGGACCTCGGAGAGTTGGGTTCATTGTATAAAGTATATTCTAAACAATACGATTTGATCCGTTAAGTAGAAAGGAAAGCAGTAAAAGTTGTTGTTTATATGCCCCAGGTCTGGAAGTAATTCTGAAGTAATGCCTCAGCTGAAAAACAAATATTTGAGAAAAAAATTATTGAGAAAAATGACATTTCCATTGTTCCAATTTGTTATTAATTTGTAAATTTTGAGTGTAATGATTTTTTTCCATTGCAAAACTGTTAGCAGTGATAGTTTTAGAGCTAAATGATAGTTTTATCTTTTTGTGTTTTAAAACAATGATGTTTGTGAATGGAATATTGAACAAAGAGGAATACACCTATTTTGAGGTATTTGTGCAACAAGGCATCCACAGTTTTAATATATTTAAAGGGCCCATGTAATATAATTGTACATACATCTTTGCGTCCCATCAATTTTCATTTTGCCATTTTAAAGGGCATTTTGGTGCCTTTTTGGTTTTTATGCCAATTTAAATTTGCATATGAGCAAAAGTGTGATGTCGTTCCAGGCAGAAGCCACAGTGTTAACTATTTCAACAAAAACATTTGCCTGAATTTTGGATATTTTGCTGTCGTTATTGCCATTATTTGACTGGTAATTATTTTTTTTACTTAATAAATTTCATCTTTATTAGACTTATTTATTGTATAAATTGATTTTATGTACATGTATTCAATTCTAAGAAATGATGTCAGTGTTGAAATATTCTACAGGCAAAAATGATTGTAGAAACTGTTATCTCTGAGTTAAACAATTTTGAACTTGTTTTGTTTAAGAAGGTAGCGCTACAAGTCATAATACTTTTAACGAAAAATATATAATTTGTTAAGTTTACAATAGTGATATAAATACACCGTGTTAAAATAAAGTTAAAATAAAGTTCTAATGAAAAAAAAAAACATTTGGAAGTTTAGTTTGTCTCCTTTACATATTTCTGTTTTGTTGATTTTGTTGATTTCTGTATACATGTACTGGGAAATTATCAAATAATTATACATAATACTAGTTGGAACAATCTTTTTTAAACAACACTCTGTTGTTGCTATTTAGCCTAGAGTCTCCTGGTACATTTTGCCAAGAAGACACTCTTATTCGAACAGAAAAAGGATTAGATATAGATTAGATATAGATTGAATATTAATATATTCAAATTAATGCTGACGGCGGAGCCCTGGGGGTTGATAGATGAATGGTGTGGCGTGATACGCAGCATTGCCGAAAAGCCCGCCAGCTAGGCTTGTCAACAGGCGTTTATTTTATAGCGCACGTACACCATGAATAGGCTTAGAAGAAGAACGCCGGTTCAACGGATGCAAGGAAGGCCATTTCTTTTGTTAATTTCCTTTGTTGAATCTTGCGTTAACAATAAAATGTTTCCATTGAGGCGAAAGGATTAAACGCCGCTATCTTTTTCCACGCTTGAGTGCATCTGAATGGGCGTTTTTCAAGCGGAAAATCACGAAATACAGCTCTTATACAGCATTTTAACCTACAAAATGATACTTTTTGCAGAGGAAATTAAATTCTGAACAAAACTGTAGTTTCAAAATGCAAAAATTCGCCCTATTAAGAAAATCGATGTCGAATTTTTTGGTAGTGCCAAGCAAAACCTTTCCACTTTCCAACGTAGGTGGCGCTATATATATTTCGTTTCAAAGTGCCACAGATAACACGTGTTCGCATATGACAGTCCAAAATTCATTGCAGACGGCAAAAGGCGTTTTTCAAAACTCGGCCTCATTTTAGATCGTGAAAAGCAGACAACAGGCTCAATATGGAACCATGTTCAGCTTTAGAAAAAAATAATTTATCAATTTTATTTTTGAATCCATATCTGGTGTTACTGTTAGACTTCTACGCCCCCCCCCCCTTAAAAAAATACCACAGTGTCCTGCCTCCCCGTGATGGACATTAAAAGACAATTTACTTAAATGTACTTAAATTGTAAATTCTCTGTATTTTTTAATCAATGATTCTGTGTCTCTTGTAATATTTTCATATTTGTCACTTTTGTCAGCCAGTGGAGGAGGTGTAATGAAAATAAAATAGAATAAAAAATAAACCCCTTCGCCCACCCCCCAAAATACCACAGTGTCCCGCCTCCGGCTCCCCAAGGCCCGGGCCCAATTCCCGGCGTGAGGCAGACGTCGCCCCTAGCGGTACGGGTACCGCTAGGGGCGACGTACCGCTAGAGGCGACGTCGCCCCTAGCGGTACACGGTACCGCTAGAGGCGACTTACCGCTAGAGGCGACGTCGCCCCTAGCGGTACAGTACCGCTAGGGGCGACGTACCGCTAGAGGCGACTTAATTACCGCTAGAGGCGACGTCGCCCCTAGCGGTTCGGGTACCGTTAGGGGCGACGTACTTGAGGTATACTGTGAACGAAATATATATAGCGCCACCTACGTTGGGAAGTGGAAAGGTTTTGCTTGGCACAACCAAAAAATTCGACATCGATTTTCTTAATAGGGCGAATTTTTGCATTTTGAAACTACAGTTTTGTTCAGAATGCAATTTCCTCTGCAAAAAGTATCATTTTGTGGGTTAAAATGCTGTATAAGAGCTGTATTTCGTGATTTTCCGCTTGAAAAACACCCATTCAGATGCACTCAAGCGTGGAAAAAGATAGCGGCGTTTAATCCTTTCGCCTCAATGGAAACATTTTATTGTTAACGCAAGATTCAACAAAGGAAATTAACAAAAGAAATGGCCTTCCCTGCATCCGTTGAACACGTGTGTTTCGTGCAGAAACCTCGGATTGTAGCAGCTTGGATTCATATTTTTCCACGGATAGGTTTACATTTGTACCCGTCCCCTTTTCTGAATCAAAGTAAGATCATTTCATTTACTATTACTATAATAATAAATTGGGTTATTACATTGTCAGACTGTGGATGACGTCTACGGCTCATGTGGCTTTCGACGCGTAAAGCGCGCAGGAACGCCACTCCCATCAAATACCAATAAAAACACTATTTATCGTCGAAAAGCCAGATGCGTTTGTGTGGCGGCAGGGAGCTTTCGATCCAGCGGCCTGGGTTCAATTCCCGTGGTAACCAATTTATTTTCATTTTTTTTTCAAATCTCATATCAAACGTGAACAATTTTACTGTCCCAAATTGAAAGTACAGAAAATTGAAAAATTTGTTTAAAAAATTGAAATTATCCCCCCCCCCAAAAAAAACCCAAGTATTGAAAACAATATTGAGGTCCAAAAATATTTGAGCTTCTTAGTTTCCCAATTGTTAACAAATATTTAAAGTTTAATTGTGTCAGTCATCACAGATTTGACACTGAGAATGCCATTAAGTTAAACTTCCACAATTTTGAATGTTTTATTGCAAAAGAAACATACTGAGACATTTAGGCTTATAATCAAACCAGGATATAATTTTGAGCAACATTTTATTTTTGAGGCCCCAATGAAATCAAAATTCAATGTACAACTATTTCAATAAAAAAACCAATCCTCTGGGCTTTAGTGGTACCATTTTTGGGTTTAATATTTTTTGTAAGTGTAGAGTTAGAATGTCCATGCTTTTTCCTGACAAGTGAGGCTTTCTATTATGTCATTCAAGGCAAACACTCTACAGTAATTTTTGTACACATTTTGAGCCTATTGACTTTTGATGCCATCACTGTTTTGCTCTTAAATATCAATAATTTTACATCAGCATTCAAAAAAGCCCAGACAAATGGAAACATCCCAAAAATGGTATTGAAAATAAACTTAAAGAGGGCAAATTAAAGTGCAGTTTCTGGATTTTTTTTAACAAAATTTCTATTAGTGTATATGTATTCAATTCCTCAAAATTCCTGAAAAGCATATAATCAAAATAAAGACTTGTTAATCTGTGGAAATGATTTCTTTGATCATAATTAAATATTTAATGAGATCATCAGCTAAATATACGTCGTGCTAAAAATACATTAACCCTCCTATGCAAACACATTCTGTGCAAAGTTGTCCTTTCAGTCAAAATCAATCAAGTGACTATTTTTTTAACAGATAGGAGCTCCAAGCCTACACAAAGCAGTATATATTGGCAGTGACCGTTTATGTAACTTGATACAGCTATGCTTTAAGCTGAGCTGTGCCTAATTCTTGCCTACTTTTGTCTGTTGACTGACTTTGGCTAGTCAGAGTGCTCGCTTGAAATACTATCTGACTGTTGGTGACTAGCCTGTGTAAAAGGCATGGCAGGGGAGAGGATTGATTTTTTTTTGACTGTCTGCGACTGATCAAACAAAAGAATGTTTAAGGAGCATTCCACAGGGTAATTAAGGTTTGGAAATTGTATATATTTCATATTCCACACAAAGAGTTTTTTTTTCTCTTATTTTTTGTGTGTTTGGTTTTATAGCAGTTATTGAAATTAGCCTGGACAAAAAAGATAACAGCTAGCTCGCTAGTTGAACCTAGAAGAAGCCTACTGAATCTGGTAACAACAGGTCAAAGGTCAAGTGCAATAATAGATAAAATATTTTTACAATGGTGTCAACATGAAAACTCCAGATAGACTACGTCTTACCACACTATGAACAACTTTCACCATTTTCAGGTTGTAGGCAATATACAGCATGTATTTTAAAATCAATTTTTTAAACAAAAAATATAAACAATGATGGGAATAGTGATTATAGAGACAAGGGCGGATCCGGGGGGGGGGGGGGGCCAAAGGGGGCCATGGCCCCCCCCCCAAAAAACGAAACCAATTTTTGTTTTTTATGTGACGTCGCAACAAAGGCAGGCAATGAGTACACCACCATCTTTTCCTCAAAAAACATTGGCTAAAGTGGTCAGAAATTGCCTCAGATTGCACCACAGAGCATTGAGAATCCAAAAAAATTTTGGGGCCCTTAAGCGGGCCCCAAACCCCACGCTATAATTTTTTGACCCACTTTTTGGGAGACACACATTTTTTTTTGGCCCCCCAAAAAATTGTGTTCTGGATCCGCCCTTGTATAGAGACTGGGTATTATCACAGCCACTGCCCCAGGATAATTATAGTCCTTTAACAGTAGACAGTTCCCCTTATAATGGGTCTCTACATAATGTTTATTTCATGCGTATAAAAACACTACGAATTATTATATATATAATACATGATACTGATCGGTGATGTTTCTCAGGATGCCAGGACCATCTCCCGTTCTTCAGTTCTTTCTTTCCTCCTTTCCTCTTGTTCTGGAAAAAAAAGAAGAAAAACATACAAATAATTCAATAAAATAAAAACCTAAAAACAAGGCAAACACAGAAAAAACCCAAATACTGTTATTTTGCTTAACATCACACCTTCTTGGATTGATTACAGAGACAAGACGTTTGTGTCCCAGAACAACCCTAACCCTCCTCAATCCTCCAAAATCCTCCAACATCCTCCTGGTGATATTTGAAGGATTTTGAAGGATTGAGGATGAATGGTGTTGAAGCACATAAGGATTTTGGAGGGTTGAGGATGAATGGTGTTTGAAAAGGAGGATGATTTTGGAGGATTGCGGATGAATGCTTTTTGAAAGGCTGGACTGTCTGAGGATTTTGAAGGATTGAGGCGCTGTGTATCCTTCACTTGAACATAAGTGCAAAGTTTTGGAGAATTTTGGAGGACTGAGGATGGTTCCTTGCAAAAAGGGCTTTGGGGGTTCATTTTGTCCAGAAAATACATTCTATCTTTAAGTAAAGCAGTAAGTAAGATTTAAGGGTTTGCATGGTGGATATGATCAATGAAGTAACTTGTGAACATGGTATGCATATTACCTGAAATTTTCACAGTTACTAGTCAATAATATGCACTTTATCCCAATGTTATTTTTATTAAATGGAGCTAGCCACATATTTCGTAAAACATTTTTTTTCTCATTAGGCCACTTTCTTTTAGACTCATCCTGAATTATGAAATCTGTAATTCTGAACTTTGCGAAAAAAGACAGAGTAAAATAAATAAATTAACAACAATTGTGTCCCTCTTTCTGAATCTACCCAAAAAACTTGTAGTCAACTCTTCCCCAGTTCTGTCTGATATCACAAGAGCAAGTCACCAAATGTGCATTTCAAATGGCTATTCTAGCTTCTAACCACTTACCGATCTCGGGAAGTTTGTCCATCGGCACGTCTGGTAGTTGCTCGAGCTGGTTCCCTGCCTCCTCTACTCCTGTTAGCTGTGCTAACTCCTCCAGGACCGCTGCCTCATCATCCTCGGTTAAACCACCTGCTAAGAGCTCATCAATTTCCTTGAGAGACAAAACAAACAGAAGGAAAACAATTGAGAGTTATGCTCAATTCAATGAGTATTTTTTATTCAGGAGATGGACGGAGGGCTGGAGGGGGTGGGGGAAAGGGAGGGGTGAGGAGTGAGGGTGGGGAGAGGGGTGGGGAGAGGGGTGGGGAGAGGGGTGGGGAGAGGGGTGGGGAGGGGGTGGGGGGCTGCGTTGGGCTTGACACTTGACACAAAAATATACAGACAGTGTCCTCAAATTTGTTGAAATCATTGCTCCATGTATGAACCATGACAATTCTACCGTGTAATTTGATTGGTGTATTTTACAAGAATGGAACACCTGTTCATGTGTTTTGCCGGAGTATTTTAATGAAGTTGACCCCATCTCGGAGGTCATAAGAACAGTAACATGTTGGCCGTTCTCAGACTATATATTGAAATGAGCATCATGCAGTGTTTAGGGAGCTGCATGAGATACAACAAGCTAGGTACATGTACATGTACATGTTGTATGGCAAAACTGATTATATGTTATCCAGTGTGTTTATATGTTCAACTTCCATTAAATCACAATTGAAAAGCAAAGACATTGACTAATTACCTAGCCATGAGTCACAATGTATTTCCTTCAGGGGTAAGCTGAGTGTTCAATGTTTAGACCAGTCTACTCTGGTATTCAGCAACATGGATATCTGACGTTTGTGGACAACTGGAGCTTAAGTGACAACTTCCACATTTCTTGCAGAGAGAGCCGGAGATTCTGCGGTACATCAACAGTGTCCATAGAATCCAAGAATATTCCTTGTCTTTTGCTGCTGGAACCCCAGTAAGGCAAAATTCTCACATGTATCCTGTTGTAAAGTGCGTGTATGTACATGTGAAATTCAGTGTCAGACAGCTGCAGATTCTACATCAAAAGTGTCCACAGAATCCGAGAATATCCTTTGTCTTTTGCTGCTGTAACTCGGGCAAAACTCTTATATTCTGTTGCCAAGTGTGTGTATATTCAACATCAGGTGGAGTGCAGTACGTAGAGACAAAGAATAAACAAGGCGCAAAAAACACTGCAACAATTTCATTGTTAAACATCTGAACAAACCAGGTCTACTCTTGACGAAATTGCACAAGGCACAGATATGAATTAGCAGTATACATGTATATACAGGCACATATTTACAATGTTCCACTCTTTAGCAGAACTGTAGACGCATTTCAAAAGTGTAGTATCCACACACACTTTTGTCTACACACCAAAATTTGGTGAGGCCGTATGTACATGTTCAGTTGAAGTTTCCTCCAAGGTGAAAAAGTTCCTAATGCCAAACAATCTTTTCATAAAGAATCAGGAATGGTAACACCATCCTAGGCTTTTATGAAACAGATTTCACTTTCTGCACCTGTTTTTCTCGGCAAGTGAAGTGATTCAGCCATTGGCACACCATGGCTTTGAACGCCGCTCTCAGTTGTTTGTACTTAAACCCGTACATGACCGGGTTGATAGCCGAATTCACTAGCGCCAAAAGGAGGAAGCAATTGTACAAAATGAAGAAGTTCTCTCGATCTACGTTTATTTCCCTCAACAGCTTGTAGATCCGCATAGGAAAAACCAGGAGGAAGAACGCCAGCGTGATGATGATGAGGGAACTGGTCACCTTCTTGTGAGCTTGAAGCAGTTGCTTGGCTGAACCCTTGATGCCTATCTCTCGTAGATTCTTAGCGCCTTGTTTGAGGTTGGCAAGAATCTGAATATAAATCCAGATCATGATGCTTGCAGGTACGGCAAAAAGGATTATGGACATGATGGAGAATATGGCAGTTATGTTAGTGTGGTCGTTGTCAATACAGCCAGCCTGCCGATAGCTGACGACGGTGTATATCAAACGAGGCAACTCCACTGCGAAGGGAGTGACCCAAGCAATGACCAGCATCAGCACGATCTTGGTCCGACTGAAGAAGCTGGCGTAGTGCAAGGGCTTGATGATCCCAATATAACGCTCTATCAATATCAATCCCAGGCAGAGCACGGAGTGAGCAAAGAAGGAACTCTGAAAGAAATAGTGGGCCCATTTGCTGTCATGCAAAAAACCCAATTCGGGTGTGCATCCTGTACCATTCCAAGCAAACTCCACTCTCGTCGCAAATACTTTCATAGTGCTGCATATTGAAGTCAGTGCATCCGCAACGGCAAGACTCAGAATAAACAGGTTGGTGACATTGTGCAGTTCCTTGGTGTAGCATATGGTCGCACATACAAGCCCATTTCCCACGAATCCAAAAGCTCCTACTATCATCTTCCCTACGTTCACTAGCAAGATTTCTACTGAATCATTAGCCATATTGGACAGTTTACGTGCTTGTTTTTTTTGCGTAAGATGGTTGGGTTGAGGTGCATTCACTTTCAAATTCAGTTCCAAAAGCACACAATGAAAATTGCCAGACACTTTGAACTAGAATGCAGAACACGTTCTCTCTACAAGATCATTGTCGTTCGACTGATTTCAGGAGCGGTAGATGGGCCTCATTTATACCTCTAGCCGACCGACATCAAGTCAGGTCTTTTTTATCTAAACCTCTCACGAGTCTATCCATGTAAACAACATCATCAGTCAATTTCATGAGCAGTCCCGTACCACTTAACCATCTATCACCGAAATGCATCGTCCACTCACCATCCTGCCTTATCCCTCATTATGAGGTCTGGTGAGCTTTCAGCAGTTTAAGGCAGCACAACCAGGGGAAGGGTCCACAATGTTTTTTTAAATTACATCCCCCCCCCCCAAATCTACAGTCACTGTCTGTTAATAAAGAGTGATTTGCTCGTTAGGATGTCAGCAAAGTGTTTGACTTTTCAACACTAACCTGGGTAGTCAGGTAAAGATTGTTCCCATGCGTCTATTGCAAGCCAGGGCATCAACTCCCTCCAAAAGCTCCCAAGGCTTTTACAAAAAAAGTCATCTTAATGTCACAAGGGTCACCAGCTCAAATTCATTTGCCACGTAGTTCAGCAGTGTATTTACAATACACTTCACCTGCAAGTAATGCTGTCTGTACCCTTCAGATCAGTGCGTCCAAAAGCAATTATGTGCTTGTACAAACAGACCAAGCCTCCAAGGGCAAGTGAAAGATGAGCCGATACATCCATTCTCTGACAGTTTCATTAAACACTCCACCTCTGTTGACTGCTTATTAAAAAACTTTCGTTTGTTTCCAAAACTCTGGTGTCTCGAACGACAACAGCACTCGAAACCATCAAAGTTGTGAACTTTAATCTAAGCTGGCATTTTGTTTGCATCAGCCAGAAGTTTATGGCTGTCGCTCAATCCTCACTCACTCAGACTCCATCAAGTCCGTCGAGCAGAAATTGGGCAGCAGCAATCAGAAAACAGATTTTAATGGAGCTTTTAATGATGACTGATCGACATAATGTAATTAACCCTCGTCTTGCATTGCCTCATTACAGCAACTTAATCAAATAATTTCTCAACATCAGCGTTCCAGTTGACAGCAAGTCAATTCACATACAGCCACGTTCCGGACTTTGCCAGCTCGCCCGCAATCAATCTTAACCCCCACACGGATTCACAACATCTACGAGCAATTACGTCAAGATTGAGTCGACAGAGATAAACCCATGGACAAACATAACCAAAGCTTACAAGCGGCATTACCATGGTAACAATCACTCCCCCTCATAAGGCCCACTAACAACATCAATTTCAGAACCTACACTTTCAATGTGGACAAATGCACCTAAACAAAATCCAAAATATATTGTCAGGCACAAACTCGTTAAGATTTTTAAAAAAAATTTGCGATTGTTTTTGCGGCTCCCATACATGCCATACAGAAACAGCTCTTTCCAAAAACACTCGCATTTATATACACATGTTACCAAATCAGAGAAAAACCAGGATTTTTTTCAAAATGCCAATCATTGCCAATATTTTGGAGATAAAAACAGATCTTCACATGTTTGGACAATACCGTGACCTCTACAAAGAGCTACAGTAGCAGACATGCTGCTTGTTAGGATAGAGATTGGACCATCTCTACCCTGGGTGCTTGCTGAACGTGATTCTGACGCTTCAATTTCCTGCATTTGCCCACCACCATAGACACAAAGGACTCCCTCAGCTGTTTGTACTTGAACCCGTACAAGACTGGGTTGATGGCTGAATTCAGCACTACCAGGAGAGTAAACGTCTGAGACACAGCTAAAGGTGAAGGTTTGACAATGATTTCAAACGTGAGTTTCACTATTTTAGTAGGCAGTACTAGAATAAAAAAAGCTGCCGTGACGAGAGCCATCGCTACGGTCACCTTTTTGTGAGCTTCAAGTAGCTCTTTGGCCGATCCTTTTACTCCTAACTGCTGAAGGTTCTTAGCCCCCTGTTTGAGGTTTTTCAGAATCTGGACATACATCCAAACCATGGCTCCAGTAGGTCCGGCAAGTAGAAGCATTGACAAAATGGAAAACATGTACTCATACTCTGAATCACCCGTACATTTTTGTCGCTGGTAATCAATGACATACACAAAGCGAGGCAATTCTACAACCAGCGGAGTCATCCACATTGCCAATAACATGACAGCAATCTTTCTCCGACTGAAGTAGCTTGCATGCTGCAAAGGTTTTACAATCCCAATAAACCGCTCGTGTGTCACCAACGTAAGGCCAAAGACAGAGTGGGCCAAAAGAGATGAGTGTAAGTAATACACAACTGATTGCACACTAACCCAGAAATTCAACTGCACAGGACACGTGACTGTATCGTTGTAAAGGGACTTCTCGACTGACAATTGCTGGGTTGTAAACGGATCTGCAACATGGGCTACTGAAGCCAATGCATCAGCCACGGCCAGATTCAGTATGAACAAGTTTGTGATACTGTGCAGTGCCTCTGTATAACATATGGTCACGCATACAAGAACATTGCCAATAAATCCAAGAGACCCAACCACAGAGAACAGAGCCTGAAAAACGGCATACATGTCTGAAAGCTAATGGTTTATCCTGCCAAACTATTTCGTGGTATCGCAAACACGTTTCCACAAGTCACAAAGCGTGTCAGGTACACAGCCAGAGGTGTTTTATGGAGAGAGGGGGTTGTACGTGTCAAGCAGTCAGCAGTGCTGCACAACTGAACTTTGTGATATTGCATCCTTTGGCCCTATCTACGTGCCTCTATCTAACAACCATCTCACAACTAATATCCCTGTCACAATAAAAGTTGAGCTCCTAATGATGAATGACCATCAATAACCAAGGCAGTTTCATGATAAAAACAACAACAATATCAGCCAAGTTTTAGAAGCATCAGTTGACAAGATAACGAGAATTTAATGATGACTGACAGATGCAATTTATACTGTAATAACCTCTTGCAAAACAACCAACAACCAACAATTTCAGATTCTGACTCTGAGGCCTAACAGTGTTTACATTCATTGACAACAAGTCACACAATACTGCATTTCTCGTCTTGCATATGTCTGGCAGCTTCAAGTATCTCCTTTGTAGAGTGAAAAGAGAATCAGCTACCTACATGTTACCATGGTAACGCTTCCCATGAAGCCGAATAACAACTAAGTCCCATCAATTTCAGAGTTCAAAATCTAAAATGAGTGCACCAAATCTTATTTCTTTTCTTTGGCATGATTTTTTGGGGGGCTCCAGAGCATAGCTCATAATCTTTCAGACAAATAACTGCATTTAGCTGTCTCTAAAACAAAACCACCTATCAAAATCCTTAAAGAAAAACAGGAATTTTAGATTAGCCAATCTTTGTTAACCTTTGAAAGGTTAAACAGGTCATCATGTGCATTTGGACAATCCAAATGCCTTCTGCAAAGATCTAGCAGACACGCAGCATGTTAGGATACAGTCTGGACCATCTCTACCCTGGGCGCTTGCTCAACGTGATTCTGACGCTTCAATTTCCGGCATTTGCCCATCACCATAGACACAAAGGACTCCCTCAGCTGTTTATACTTGAACCCATACAAGACTGGGTTGATGGCCGAATTCAGCACTACCAGAAGAATTGATGTCTGCAACAAAGCTAAAGATTGCACTTCTGAATTGACTGCAATCACAATTTGAAATATTTTAGCAGGCAGCACAAGAATAAAGAAAGCTGCTGTGATGACAGCCATCGCTACGGTCACCTTCTTGTGAGCTTCAAGTAGCTCTTTGGCCGATCCTTTTACTCCTAACTGCTGAAGGTTCTTAGCCCCCTGTTTGAGGTTTTTCAGAATCTGGACGTACATCCAAACCATGGCTCCAGTAGGTCCGGCAAGTAAGACCATCGACAAAATGGAAAATGTATAGTAATACTCATCAGAATCCTTGGCACTGACACAATTTCGATGCCAGTAAGCAATGATTGTATACACAAAGCGAGGCAATTCTACAACCAGCGGGGTCACCCACATTGCCAATAACATGACCACAATCTTTCTCTGACTGAAGTAACTTGTATAGTGCAATGGTCTTACAATCCCAATAAACCGCTCGTACGTCGTCAATGTGAGGCCAAGTACAGAGTGGGCCACAAAAGCTGCACCTAAGTAATGGACAACCCATATCACATCATACCAGAAAACTAACTCGGGAGTGCAAGTGGTTGTGACGTTGTCTTTGTTAAGAGATAATAGCTCGACATCAAAGTGATGAAACGCAAACGGAACTGCAATATGGGCTACTGAAGCCAATGCATCAGCCACGGCCAGATTCAGTATGAACAAGTTTGTGATACTGTGCAGTGCCTTTGTATAACATATGGTCACGCATACAAGAACATTGCCAATAAATCCAAGAGACCCAACCACAGAGAACAGTGCCTCAAACACAGCATACATGTACGCGTCATCAATACTCAAGCCACCCATCATTAAGATCATTGATTGACTGATCACGGTTTATCTTGCTAAACTGAAAAGTTGAAGCATGGGTTAGCCTCCGTGAAGAAAGACATCAGGTTTAAATAACCTCTAAAAATGAGTGCACTGTATAGAAAGACTGATGAACAAAAGCTGGACCTGAGTAACAGCATCATAAAGAGGCTGATGTTTGTAGCCACTGTTGAGTCTGTTCTGTTGGCTCTGAGGCTTGAACCCTCACGAAGAAGTGACGGATGATGTACGTAGACGCTGAGAGGCTGAGAACTTCTCGAGCAAAATTTATAAACAGGATTTCCCAAATTCTCTATGAAGATGCGGGTCAGTGAGTTGGACACTCAACCAGAGCTCAAAGTAGTCCTCCTCATGCAATTGGAGTAAGCAGACAGCACTGCTTTCCCGGTTTATCTCTGCTGAAATTCATCAACTCTTATCCACGCTTAGCATGACAGCACACTGGAACTTGGATAGCTGATGTACAGTATAGAGGACTTCCCCATCTGGAGAACGATCGTGCTTGGTATCTTGAGGTTCAGTTGTGAGAGCCTAGACATGAGTGCTAGACTACCCCGCAAACAGTATGAAATGCCCAAGCCATCAATGCAGATTTGATACAAAGGCAAGATGATACATGTGACAGCGTCCATGTGTATGTATGTAGAGAAGACTTCTTGAGCAAGTCAATCTTGTGATTGTTGTAATTTTGCTCAAGATTTTGATACACGGTTTTACTGAAACTTGAAAGAGTCTAAGGGATAGCACAAAATTTGTGGCATCGAAATTTGCGGTATCACAGAAACGATTCCACAAGTTATAACGTGTGTGGTGCGTAGCCAGAAATATTTTATGCCTCTAACAAACAACTAACAACTAATATCCCTGTCATAATGATTGGTGAGCTCCTAATGATGAATGACCAACAATAACCAAGGCAGATTTATAATAAAACCAACTGCAATATTAATCAAGTTTCTGAAGCACCAGTTGACAAGGTAAAGAGACCCTTAATGTACTCTTGAGCTAGAGTACACTGCAAACAGTATAAAATGCTAAAGCCATCAATGCAGATTTGATACAAAGGCAAGATGATACATGTGACAGAGTCCATGTGTATGTATGTAGAGAAGTCTTCTTGAGCAAGTCAATCTTGTGATTGTTGTAATTTTGCTCAAGATTTTGATGCACGGTTTTACTGAAACTTGAAAGAGTCTAAGGGATAGCACAAAATTTGTGGCATCGAAATTTGCGGTATCACAGAAACGATTCCACACGTTATAACGTGTGTGGTGCGTAGCCAGAAATGTTTTATGCCTCTAACAAACAACTAACAACTAATATCCCTGTCATAATGATTGGTGAGCTCCTAATGATGAATGACCAACAATAACCAAGGCCGATTTATAATAAAACCAACTGCAATATTAACCAAGTTTCTGAAGCACCAGTTGACAAGGTAAAGAGACCTTAATGTACTCTTGAGCTAGAGTACCGGTACACTGCAAACAGTATAAAATGCTAAAGCCATCAATGCAGATTTGATACAAAGGCAAGATGATACGTGTGACAGCGTCCATGTGTTTGTATTTAGAGAAATCTTCTTGAGCAAGTCAATCTTGTAATTGTTGTAATTTGGCTCAAGATTTTGATGCACGGTTTTACTGAAACTTGAAAGAGTCTAAGGGATAGCACAAAATTTGTGGCATCGAAATTTGTGGTATCACAGAAACGTTTCCACGAGTTATAACGTGTGTGGTGCAAAGCCAGAAATGTTTTATGGAGAGATCTAGAGGGAGTTGTGCCTCTAACAACCAACTACTAATGTTACAACTAATATCCCTGTCTTAATGAATGGTGAGCTCCAAATGATGAATGACCATCAATATCCAAGGCAAATTTATAATATAACTAACTGCAGTATTAATCAAGTTTCTAAAGCACAACTTGACAAGGTAAAGAGACCTTAATGATTACTGACGCAGGGAGTTTAATAATTAAACCTGCTGCAAAACTGCCCGCAAGAATCAACAATTTCAGATTCTGAGGAGCCCTCTAATGTTTGCAATGGCAACAAGTCTCCATGCAATATTGCATTTCTTTGGCAGCTATATGTATCTTCTTTGTACACTGGAGAGAAAATCATCTACTTACATTACCATGGTATCATGAAGCTGACTAATAACAGAGTCGAATCAATGTCAGAAGCTACAGTTTCGAAGTTGACAACTGCCCTAGAAAAAAAATCTACAATCAGTGCAATAAACATGATAAATGCTACTTTTTTCCCCTTTGGCAAGGAATCTGCACTCGGCTCTTTCTGAAACGCAAATTATATACCTATCGAAATCCTTAACCCTAACTCCTCAGCCTTTTTGCTAGGATGTAGCCTCAATCCTGCAAAATCCTCCAATTGGCCTCATGGAAAAAAGCATACATAGCCTCAATCCTGCAAATTCCTCCGTTATTTCTTGAATATGGTCCATGGAGGGGTGACCACTGCCTGAATCCTGCAAAATCCTCCGGCTATGACTGTCAATAGGCTGAGGCAGAGGCAGTGACATCCTGGAGCAGTGCGGAGGATTTCAAGTATAATCAAGGACTAAATTTATGCACTGCTGAGCATAACCAACACAAGGTCCGGCCCAAGACCTTGACACTTTTGCCATGTTACCTCAATCCTGCAAATTCCTCCAATTTGCAAAAAAGATTTTAAAGGATTTGGGATGGTTAGGGTTAATTAAAGAAAACAGGGATTTGCATTTAGCCAATCTTTGTCAACAGTTTGACGATTAAGTCTTTGTCTGTTTGAAAACAGAAACTTAGGCTTTCTGCATTATGATTTTGTTCCTGATGTGGAGTCATGTAAATAATAGTTCAATTTACGAACAAAGTTCAAAGAGCATTTTATGTCAAATTTTGCTAGCAGCGAAAGATCTAAAAAGAAAAACAATTGCTGATGTTGATGACGTTATTTTAAATTTAGCATACAGGTAACATTATCTACTTACCCAAGAAAATTGAAGACGATAGGACCTACCCATATGTGTTTTACAAAACTCACATTTTAATGATGTCATCATGATGGCACACACTTGTCACATAGTGCGTATCTATGAGCTAACTAATCTATTACAAAATGGATTTTGAATTTAGCATGTTGTGTTCGTGAGATATGGCGATAATCTTCAAAATTTTAAAATCTATATCACACAATGACGTCATCATGTCAATTTTCATCTATAACACATCCCTGTCAATGTACATACATCGTTTCAACCCAATCGGCCTTGTGCATATAGGATGTAGTTCTCTGGATATACAATGAAGGCCATTGAAAAATGTACAATGTACATGCACCTTGAAGATGACGTCACATGACACATGAGGATGTCATCATGATGTCATCATGATGTCATCATGACGTCATCATGACATCACTTGTCGAGACACAACTTTGCTAAGGGTCTATTATTGATGATATACCGGTAGACTAAGTTCAATGCACAAAGTGGCGGGTATAATAGACATAGATCTACAAAGTCGATGGCATTTGGGATAGAAGACCCAAGTCAGCTTGTGCATTTTAGGCCAGAGATTCGACCATCTCTACACTTGATACATGTATTTGCCGAACTCGATCGTGATGTTTCAATTTCCTGCATTTGCCCACCACCATAGACACAAAGGACTGCCTCAGCTGTTTGTACTTGAACCCATACAAGACTGGATTGATGGCCGAATTCAGCACTGCCAGGAGAACTAACGTCTTTATCGCAGCTACAAATTTGCCTTCGAAACTAAATCCAACAACAAATTTTATTATTTTAGTAGGCAGCACAAGAATAAAAAAAGCTGCCGTGACGAGAGCCATCGCTACGGTCACCTTCTTGTGAGCTTCAAGTAGCTCTTTGGCCGATCCTTTTACTCCTAACTGCTGAAGGCTCTTGGCCCCCTGTTTGAGGTTTTTCAGAATCTGGACGTACATCCAAACCATGGCTCCAGTAGGTCCGGCAAGCAGTAGCATTGACAAAATGGAAAACGTAAGGTGAGACTCCATACCAGGGCTGACACTGCCACAATTTCGATGCCGGTAAGCAATGATAGTATACAGGAAACGAGGCAATTCTACAACCAGTGGAGTCACCCACATTGCCAACAACATCACAATAATCTTTCTCCGACTGAAGTAACTTCTATAGTGCAATGGTCTTACAATCCCAATAAACCGCTCATACGTCACCAATGTGAGGCCAAGTACAGAGTGAGCCAAAAGAGCCTCACCCAAGTAATGAACAACCCATTGCATATTAAACCAGAAAACCAACTGCGGAGTACATGTGAATGTGTTGTTGTAAAGAGACAGCTCGACGAAAAAGTTGTGGGATGTAAACGGAACTACGACATTGGTTACTGAAGCCAATGCATCAGCCACGGCCAGATTCAGTATGAACAAGTTTGTGATACTGTGTAGTGCCTTTGTATAGCATATGGTCACGCATACAAGAACATTACCAATAAATCCAAGAGACCCAACCACAGAGAACAGTGCCTCAAACACAGCATACGTGTCATCAATGCTCAAGCCACCCATCATTAAGATCATTGATTGACTGCTCACGGTCTTGTGAAACTGAAAACTTGGAGCAACGGTTAGTCTCCGCAAAGAAAGACGTCAGGTTCAAATAAGCTCTAAAGTAGAGTGCTCTGAGAGAATGACGGATGTTTAATGATCAAACCTCTGTAATGGAAACAAGAGGCTGATGTTTGTAACCACTTTTTTTTGCTCTGAGGCACGAACCCTCGCCAAAAAGAGATGCAAGCTGTAGCCACTGAGAGGTTGAGAAACTCTCATGTCAGATCTGAACTCTAAAGAAGATTTTCCCAAGTCTCTATCAAGATGAGGATGAAGCACCTCAGACAAGTTTGCAAGTCACTGAGATGGACACTCAACCGGAGCTCAAAGCAGTCCTC